ATATATATATATATATATAAATATATGTATACACATATTTAAATATATATGTTTAAATATAAATATATATTTAAACATATATATTTATATATATTTAAATATATAAATATAAATATATATATTTAAATATATTTAAAGACCTTCCCTGCCTCTCTCCACGTCCATCCATCATCCATCTACCATCCATCCACCATCCACCATCCATCCATCCATCATTCATTTACCATCTATCCATCCACCATCCACCCATCTATCATCTAGCCATCCATCATCTATCCACCATCCATTCATCATCCATCCACCATCCATCCATCCAACCACCATCCATCCATCCATCCACCATCCATCCATCCAACCACCATCCATCCATCATCCATCCACCATCCATCCATCCATCCACCATCCATCCATCCATCCACCATCCATCCATCATCCATCCACTATCTATGCACATCTCAACTGAAGGGTTGCTTAGACCCGGTCTTCTGTGTGAAGCAGGAGAGTCGCAGAAGACACACTGCCGTGCCCTCAAAGAGCTCACCATCTAGCTGGAGAGAGAAGGCAAACACCTACAAAAAGACAACATACCAGTTCCTTTGTGATCAGGTGCCCCAAAGCTTGGTCAAAGGAAACATTGTGTAGGAACTCCCAGGACAGGGAGATCAGAGTGGTCTGGTGTGGTCAGGGAGGGCTATAGGTGGAAGACAGGGCACTGGAGCTAGCCTTTGAAAGATGAATATTTAAAAAGAGCAGAAGCAGGAAGGAGATTTGGGGTGGAAGGGGTGGTGTGAGCAAAGGTGGAGGGGCAGGAACAGATGTGAGCGTGTGTGTGTGTGTGTGTGTGTGTGCGCCCGCGCCTGCGCGTGTGCGTGTGCGTGTGTGTGCAAGCGGGCATGCTGGGAGCGGAGGGTAAGAAGGCTGTATGTCTTGGGGGAGCAGGACAGGCATCTGGGGCTGAACTGAGCCCCAAGGGAAGCTGGCTCGAATTTTAGAGGAAGTTGCTGAGAGCAACCCAGCAGCAGTAGTCCTAAAGAGATTTTCCCTGAAGGTGTTGGCACCAGCTCTGAGCCTGAGGATCACATTCCAAGCTGCTTCTGGTTTTCCCTGTTCAGGCAGTGGGGTGGGGACTTGTTTCCGGGGAGCCAGAGGACTGCTTTGCCCCTCAAGCGACACCAGCCCCGTCTGCAGAAGTGTGCCTGGTCTACGTGTCGAAGTGTGTGAGACACAGGCAGATACCAGGGTCCCACTGCAGAGCACAGACCTCTTGGGTCACTCCCCAGCCCTGGTCTGTTTTCAACCCGAGATGGAGCTTAGGCCAAGGGCTCCCAACTTCCCCTGGAGGCCAAGGAGCCCACCCGAGGCCAGGCTGTGCTTGTTTCTGGTTTGCCTCTGTGGGAAAGAGGACTTGGGGGGCCCCACACTTCTCCCTGTACACACCTAGCCCACCTGCATGGCCCTGCGAGGCCCGGTGATCTCCTCTCAGTGAAGGAACCTGAACCTCCCAGACTTTCCTGGACACCATGTGACAAACCCACAAGCACCAAGCACCCAGATGTACGCAGCCCTACGGAGGCGGCTGCATTAGCCCCATTTTACAGATGCGGCTCAGTCAGCTTAAGTCGCTTGCCTGTTGTCACGCAGCTTGCAATGGGAGGCAAGGCTGCAGACTGCGGCTGTCTGTGCTGCCACCACCACAGGCCTCCTCCTCTTCTGTCTAGTGTTTCACAACTTTCAAGGCCTAGGAAGGGGGCACCTCCTCCAGAAAGTCCACTCTGATTTTAACCCCCAATGGCACCAAATGTTCTAATTCTGTCCCCAACACCCAGTGGTGCCTTCAAAGGAGCTGTCCAGTGTAATGCTCTGGGGTGATGGAAATGGTCTCTATCTGCTCTGTCCAGTATGGCGGCCACTGGCCACGGTGGCGCTGAGCACTCAAACAGTGAATTGTGGCCAGCAGGATTCAAACACTGAATTTTCCATTTTGTTTAATTAAGATCTAAAGAGCCACAGTGGCTACTTTAGTACAATCCAGACTCTGACATGGTATGGCCAGAAGGTTTGGCTCCCATGGTGTGTGTGTGTGTGTGTGTGGCTGCCTAGGTTCAAATCCCTGCTCAGCCAGACAGATTATTTAGGGTCTCTGTCTTCATTTATAAAGTGCAGAGACTGTAAGGATACACCTAATTGGATTGCTGGGGGATAAACAAGTTAATACACATAAAGTCCCCAGTGCACAGTCAGGCTCCGTCACAGGGAGCACATGCGCAGATCCTCCACCCACTGCTGCAGCTCCACCTGCCAGTCACGGGCCCTGCTGCCAGCGGTGGTTCACCCTGGAGAGGGGAGAGGCAGGGAAGAGCTGTGACCTTCAGGGTAAATGGCAGAAACACCTGGGACAGAGTGGGCTTGGCCAAAGGAGGGCACTGAGGGAGGGGGCCAGAAAGGTGGGGGCGGTGGTCGCGGGAGGAGGAGCCGCGTGGGAAGAAGCCTGGCTGGCCTCAATGGGGTGGGCCAAGGCTCGGGGTGTCTGCAGAGATGAGGAAACCCAGGCACTGCAGGGTAAAGCCACTTTGTCGAGACGACACTGGTGGCTGATGGCTGGCAGCACTGGGGGTGGCAGAGCTGGGGAATTCAAGCTCGTCTGAATAACTGTTGCCACTTTCACATTTCCCCAGAGTCCCTTGCCGCTGCCAGGCTGAGGGGTCTCCCCAGAGGCGACAGGAGTGACCGCTAAGCCTGGATCTCCCTCGCTGCTGCACCAAGAGGCTGACTTCATGAGGTTGTTCCACAGAGGGCAGTGGCTGCCATGTTCTGTACAGCAGGCACTCAAAACGCAGGACAAAGGGGCTCCTGCCAAGGGCCTGTGTGCCCAGGGATGGCGTGGCTTCCAGGTCAGCCTGGATGCAGGGCGGCCTGGGGGCTTCCCCAGGGTCTTCCAGAGCATACACATAACGAACGGGGTCTAGGGAGGAGCTCTGCAAGATGCCAGCCAGGGCCAGCCCCGCCTGTGGGGCCCAAGACCTGGGTTCCAGGCCTGGCTGACTGAGCAGACAGCATGACCTGGGTGATGGCAGCCCACTCTGTGCCTTAGTTTCCCCGATTGGGTTTCTGCAAAGAGGCCTCCAGCTCCAGTCTCAGGCAGGCCTGCATTCTGCTTGCAGCAGGAGGGCCATCCAGGAAGCCTAGGTAATACCTAGGTAACGCCTCCACGCCCCCAGCCTCCTGTGGCTGCCTTCCTGTCAACCTTGAATGCTCAGCAGCAACCACAGTGAGGCCCCTGCCTGCTGCTCACAGGCCTGCTCACTACAGGTCCCAGCAGGCCTGCCCTGGGCTACCACCTCCATCCTCCACCAAGCAACCTCTCCTGTGCTTCTGTACCAAGGAGAAGCTCCCCCAAGGCCCTGGAGCAGGCCTGTGCACTTAGAACCCAAAGTATGGTGGGAAACAGGGAGAGAGGGTAGTGGGTGTGGCCAGGCCTTGGTGAGAGTCATCACTGAGTAGCCCTCCCCACCCTGAGTGGGCTTTTCTTTCCCAAAGGTGGGAGTGGCAGTGCTGCTACTATTATTACTAATAGTATTATTGACAAGGGCGCTACATTTGTCAAGCATTTACATTATGCCAGGTACCAAACTAGGCCCTTGACACACATCAGCTAATTTTATCCTCATTACATGCCTATGTGGTAGAGTCCCTTATTATCCCCATTTTACAGAAGAGAAATGGAGGATCAGAGAGAGCATGT